CCCCAAAACCCCAAAACCCCAAAACCCCGCTGGATTTATTTTTAAAACATTCGAAATATTAATTTAATAATAAATAAGCATATCAATAAGCCTAAATATTTATTTTCTATATAAATGGACAAGGAAGGTGTATAAGATATTTCTAATCTCAGTTTTTACGAATTACATTCTATCGATCTCACTCAATTTCATTAGGTAGACTGCATTCAAATTATTTATCTATTATAGATGTTTATAGACGCAGTTAACCATGTAATAGAGACAAAGAAACGAGGAGCTTTTATAGTAGATATTGAAGATATTCTATATTAGAAAATTCCACATATTGGTTTAGTATATATTGTAACTCATGATTTAGCAGAGAAAGGTTAACTCTATATAAGTGAGTGTAAGGAATATCTATAAATTATTCTAATAAAAATTAGGCCATACTTCATTTGCTACTTCAAAACTCTCAGATAAATATCATACTGTGTAGGAGAGAGCTGAGAAGCGTTTCCCTGGCTATAATTTCATAGAATAATGAGTGGAAATTCCTGATTCATAAAGATGTGTCAACTTTAACAAACTTCAAAGTATTTTATTAAGTCCAAAGGAATCAATAAATGATGAGGACTAGTGGATGATTGAAGAACCTCCTTTGTTTTTAGATGGTGAAAAACTAAAAAATAGAGTATTATTTGCAACATTTCCTAGGACAGGAAATTCGTTTCTAAGATAGTATTTTGAAGACATAACAAATATTGTTACTGGATCAGATATGGACTTCTCAGCAACTTATGAAGTATGTTTGAACGGTTTCAAAGGTGAGGGATACCTAGACGATAGAGTATGGATCTAAAAGAGTCACTATCCAATGTAAACTTTTCATGTTGGAATGAGCAAGGCTAACAGAGTAATCACGACTATCAGAAATCCTCTTGACACTACTATATCCTGTTACGAGCTTTTTTGCACACATATGCAATCATTTTGCTTCTCAGATTAATATTACGAAGAAAAAAGAGATCATTTCACTAAATTTCTCCAAAGTAATTTAATTGCTTATCAGTAGTATGTGAAGCAACTCTAGGAAGAGAGCTTAGAGTAAGGTGTTCCCTTTTATTATGTAAGATATGAAGACTTGCTTGTTAAGCCATAGGAGACTTTAGAAGAGCTATTTAAATATATGTTAGGTGTTGAGAATATAGAAGGCACTTTAATTCAATAATAAATAGTAAAAGCAGTAAAGAAAATGAATAAAGGAAAAACAATTTACAAGATACAGCAAATAGGGATCAACAAGCACAGAAAAAAGTTTAATGATGATATGATTGATTGGGTGGCAAAAGAGCTCCATTGGTTTAATCATTATTTTGGGTACACAAAATCAAATGATGATGAGAATAGCTTTGATATTCTCTAATATGACTAAACAAATAGTGGTCAGGATATTTATCTTTAGTACCTTTATCACAATATTGATGCCATGAAGCAATCTCTAAGTGGGAATGTCGAGAAATGGTTCACAGTCTATAGACCAGAAAAAGCAATGAAATATATGATTGATTTCTAAGGCCCAATTAATCTCCCTTGAAGTATTAAAATTTTAAATAATTTAGATTGAGATAAAATTTCTTAATTCACTCTCTAAAAAATAGTATAAATGAATGATGGGGTTTTGGGGTTTTGGGGTTTTGGGG